TAGGAATTTCCTTTATGCAAATGGCCCTTCAGAGACTCAGAATAGTCCTGACTCAATAACACTTGAATATTTCTCACTATTGGGAGGGCGGGGCCAGCGTAGGAAGAGGAGTTTCCTCACGTTAATGCCAATTAAAAGGAAATTGGGAGGAAGTTACTGTAGGCAAGCACCTGGTGGAGCAGACTCCAGCCATGCAGCCACAAACATATCTGGGCAGTGCACATGCCCGAGAGGACTCTAGTGTGCAACGGAGTTCAAGGGCTTAAGTTCCTGCAAAGGTATATAGCTTCTCAATCATGCCAGCATGTTGGAATCATCTGGGCCGATCTTAAAAATGCCCAGGTCCCAGAGGTTCTGATAAAGTCGGTATAGGGTGAGGCTTGGGATTTTTTAAAAAGCTATCCCTGTGAAACTAATGTGCACCCAGGGTTCAGAACTACTGTGCTAGAGTGAGCAAGGATCTCACCTGTGGAGCAGGAAGATTGGCCAGAACCCCATTCTTCAGGGCAGAAGGCCAGTCCTGGGACCAGTGCCCATTGAGAGGGGTTAGGGCTATGATTCAGAAGAAGAGCAGAAACACAAGGGTGGCAGGTTTGGTGTTTTGGTCTGAAGGTGTTTGTACTGGTCCTGTCCCTTTCATGGTAATCAAACCATTTGTATTTGCCTGTGACTTTCATGGATGTAGCACCGAATGACCCACATCCCGGGAAACCACTTGGTCCTAGGCTAACTGGGATAGTTGATCACTCTAGTCTTTTAATCCAGGCCAGAGCATCCTGTGAGGTACCCTATTACCAGCACCTGTGCTCTTCCTGGATCAGTACATGGCAGAATTCTACAGATTCTTATCTCACCTTTTACCTTCCATTTTATTTCTGATAATGCCAGCTGGTTTGGGGGGAACAAGAAAAAAATATGGAGAAGAGCTATGGCTTTTTACATCTTTTCTGCTTCTGTAAAAATCTGCTCAGGAACTAGTGTAGGATTTCAGTGAGCTCAGCAGTGAGGAGCTTTAGAATGCAGAGGCAGGTGTAGTGGAAAGCAGTTCTCAAACTTCATGGAGTACCTCAAAATCACCTGGAGGGTTGGCTAAAATGCAGGCGGCTGGGTTGTATGCCCCACCCTACTGATTAAGTCTAGAGGGAAACCTGAGAATTTGAATTCCTAAAAAGCAGATGCCGTTGGGCTGGAAGCCACTCATTTGAGAACCAGCAGCGTAAAGACACTTGACTTTAGGCATACCTGAGTGTGAAGGCGTCTATATCTTCTCACTGGTAAAATGGGGAAGTTTTTATTCACCTCATCGGTCATCGTGAAATATCACATAAATCATGAAGGTCGCCAAGCAGAATGCCCAGAATATGGTGGACACTTTCATTCTCTGAAAGGTCCTAGTGTCTTTCTGGTATCCTCTGCATGGAGATGGTTTGGTCTTGTGTTGACTACTGTAAGTTAATAATTCCAAATACAATAATCAAAATCACCTGGGGAATTTTCTGCACCTCTAAAACCCCTGGGGCCCTACCTCTACGGAGATTCTGATCGCGTAGATCTGAGGGAAGGCCTGGGAATCAGTCAGTTTAAAAAGCTCGCCGCGAAGATTCTGATAGTTTCGGGAACCACTGCTATTGAGCACCGTTTCTCTAGAGTAGGGCTTTTCATCCACTGCAACTTCATTGATTCATCTGGATCACTTGAAAAGATGCTGACGCCTGCGTCCCATCTTTGCTTATGGTTTTGTTGGTTTGGAATATGGCTTGGGCATTGGGATTTTAAAAGCTCCCCAAGGTATGCTGATAATGCAGCCAGAGTTGAGACTACTGCTCTAGTGTATTCCTGGTGCAAGAAAAACATGGAGTTTTTGTTAAAATGCGAATTCTTGGTCTCGGAGCTGCTTAAATAGAGTTTCTGGGCAAGAGACAGAGTAATCTGCATTATTAGTCAATGGCCTGAACTGTTACTCTTAAATAAATTATGAGAATCCCTGCTCAAGGGACATGATAGAATCCCTCATTGAGTAAATATTCTCTGATTGCACCTCTCACCTATTTTTATAGCAGTTTACAGTGGATGCTACTTTGCTATTTCATAGAATCCCCTGATATTTTGTGAAGCAGCGTGGGTAGATATTATCCCCATTTTATTGATGAGGAAACTGAGATTCAAGGAGGTTTTCTCTCTAATGGCACTCTTGGGGATATAAACATAGATCAGGCGCATGGTCTTCCCTGACAGGAAACCTTAGTCTGATGGGGGACATAAGATAGAAACAAGAATGTAAGTGTAAAGAGAGGTAGTACAAATCTCTTTAAAAATGAACGTTCAGAGAAAGAGTGGTTAGTGAGAAGTCATTTGTCGGGGGGAGGGAAACTGCGGAGGTGCTTTGGAGGAGGCAAACTGCGGAGGTGCTTTGGAGGAGGCTTCCCTGGCCCATCTTGGAGCTGATAGACTCGTCGAAGGTCCTTTGAGGGTCTGGATGGAGGGCAATGACTGTGGCCTCGCTGCTGTGCTTGCACTGCTGCCCTTTATTGGATTTTCAAAGTTTTATAACCCAGTCTGGGTAACTTCCTTCGTGTTATATTTTTTAAAATCATATTTGTAGTAAATTTTGTTGTTGTTTTTTTTAATTTTTGACATCTTTCTGACTTTTTAATAAAGGTATGATTTGTTTTTGACTTTTGCAAGTAAATGATTATTTTGACTTTCTAGAATAAAAATTGCAATAAACTTTTTGTCCATTGGGAAGATAAACCAATAGACATATAAATGATTATATAGTTCATTTTTATAGAGGTAGACAATTATTTTATCTATACCTAATATGCTAAAAATAAACACCTGTACTGTTATAAATGTGTTATTAAGTCAAGGACTATGAAGAAAGTTTCAAGGACAGTAGACTTATTTCTGGAACAAAAGAGACAGTAAGGAAAAAGCTGACTAGCAGTCCGATAAAGAACTAAACTATTAGGATGTGCTGTGTTTTCTTTTTCTCTATAACATCTGTCTTAGATTATTCTATGTAATACCTACTTGCATAAAGCATTGGTTCTTCAAGAAAGTTATATGAAGATAGGGAGAACCATTATCATTCACAAGACTTGGTGAAATTGGCTTATGTAGTAGTCTATTGAAATATACAATTTTTAATAAAAGGCAATTTAGTATTTTCAAATGTACATCATTTAAAACAGATGTGAGTGCAAATAAATACTATTATATTTGTCTTTTAATTTATCTATTAATATTTTAAATGCACATACTCTTTGACCTGTCAGGTCCATACCTAGAAATCTATCTACCTATATACTGATAGAAGTGCACAAAAATATATGAAAGAGAGTTTGTTGTAATATTGTTTATGACAGCAAAAAAATAGAGACAGTCCAAATGTCCATTAGTACAGACCGTTTAAATGAATTATTGTTCACTCCTATAATGAGATATTATGCCATCATCGAAAGAATGAGATATCGATATCGAAAGATGTCAAGATTAAGGAAAAAAAATCAAGTGGCAGAACAGGGTGCATAGTGTAAACCCATTTGTGCAATGAAAAGGATATTTATGTATATGTGAATGTACACATTTCCTTAACTAAGCATAGACTACTGTTGACATGCTGCACAAAATCTGTCAAAAATGCTTACCTTAAAGGAGGCGACTGTAGCCTGGGCAGTATGTGTGAAGGAGCTATTTTGTACTCTTCACAATGTACCTCCTGAATATTCAGAACTTCTTCTGTAAGCATTTATTTTTTAAAATATTGAATTAAAATAATTCTTAAATTTATTTTAACATTTTATAG